CAATAATATTCATATATAATTAACCTATGATTCTTTAGAGGTTAAAATTAAACCTAATAAGATTCCCAACAATATTCTTATAAAATTACACTACGATTAGGATTATATATAACAAATTACATATAAAACTAAACTAAAATACCCTAAGAATCGAGATTAGATATAAAAAATTGAATATAAAACTACCCTATGATATCCTAAAGATCAGGATTCCATATAACAAATCTAAAATAAAACTAACCTATGACACCCTAAGCAATAGGTTTACCTATAATAAATTTTAAATAAAACTATCCTATGATTCCCTAAGGATTAGGATTACCTATAACAGGTTTATAAAAAAAAAAAAAAGATTACATATAACAAATATCAAATAAAACTAACCTACAATCACATAAGAGTTAGGTTGTGCTATCAAGATTCATATAAAGCTAACCTATGACTCTTGTAACGCCCCGTTCTAGAACCGGTTTGTTAACATCGCATTATGATATTAAGCGCAGTTACAATCACATTGGCTCAATTAAAATCCAGATAAGTTTTTCTTTTTAAAACGACGCCGAATTTAAAATAGCCAATTGCGTGATCATAACCATATTACCTTGCGGAATCAGATAAACCAAGCTTAACATCGTGTTCTTATTCCATTTTTAAACCATTAATTTACTTCTTATTTATTTCCCAACTTCTACTATATTGTAGATCTCTTCGTTAGCTACGCGTGGTTTCAAACCGCTCCTCATTTGGAGCTCTGTAGCTCAAGTTATGACAATTTTACTAACTCAGGTGTATGCTGAAAAACTACGCGGGCAAGGCGCTTAAGCGCACTCCAGGGCGCTTAAGCGCCCACAGACAGAGGGAATTTACATTTTTAGCCACCAAGGGCGCTTAAGCTCGCTCCAGGGCGCTTAAGCGCGCTACCTGGGCGCTTAAGCCCCCATTTTGGGCGCTAAAGCCCCAGGCGGCAGAAAGTTTTGGTCTTCACAGGTGCATCAGGGCGCTTAAGCCCCCTCCTGGGCGCTTAAGCCCCCTGAGCAGGCTTAAGCCTCCATTTGCAGGCTTAAGCCCCCTCTTCTGGGCAATTTCCTATACTCATATTTTTCATGCATCTTTCTTGGGGAATCAATCCTACACATTTTACAACCTATTTAACAAGCTTGTGATATCCCTATATCATTGCTTAACTCTCATCCTCTCATCATTGATTTAACGGAAATTGGGCAGCATAGCCTTTGTTTTCTCAACGTTTCCCAACTTAGCACAAGGTACCTAATTGACTTTCCAGCTCAACATATCCAATACATAAAAATACATTCATGCATTTAACTTACAATAATCATCATACACAAATATCTTCATTACTTACAATATTACATCATGTCTTAATTACAAATCTCATATACATGCCAAAGGACTTAGCTACAAAATGAACATGATCAAAGCAAGTAACCATGTATCAGATACCCATTACTACTACAATGATCATGCACTAAGTCCTCCAAAATACATCATATGACATCAAAATATACATATAGCAATGCTAAATGGCATGCAACTCAACATGTCCAGCTATCAGGTACAGTCTACTCACGCTTCTTGCCTCGATCAACCTCACCTCTATCAGTACCTGAAATGATGCCCCACAACACGGGGTGAGATATACGAATATATCACAGTAAACCAGAGGTCCTTGGAGATCACTCCACCCTAAGGTTCACTTTGATGTACACATAATCATAATAGCTTAACACATTCTTATCCACAAGCATCACATGGACTTCCAAGAGAGATCCACTAAGGGCTGTTTCTCTTAGGCTCTTACCACATGGAGATCCACATAGGGCTGTTTCCAAGGGAAGTCCTTTCCTCAATCTATTCCAAGAGAGATCCTCAAAGGGCTGTTTCTCTTAGGCTCTTACCACATGGAGATCCACTTAGGGCTGTTTCCAAGGGAAGTCCTTTCCTCAATCTAGGAACCTCCAAGAGGGATCCACATAGGGCTGTTCCTCTTAGGCTCTAACCACATGGAGATCCACATAGGGCTGTTTCCAAGGGAAGTTCCTACCAATCATCCTCATCATAATACTATCACTCATAACCTCAATCACAATCCTCAACCATTACCTCATTCATTATTGCTACTTCTATAACCATTCCTCAATTACTCCTAAACAATTAAACATCAACCAATAATCATCAATCAATCATAACATGTATCAATGCATGAATCAATGCATGAGCATACAATTACTATCATAATTACATATCACATCTCATAAACCATTTCTCCTCAACGGAGTATGGTGGAACACTCAATGGGATCAACCACAAGGTCCAAAGGTTTACCTTGCTCTTGAGCTTTCCTCAATTGCACACAACCCCAAGGGTTGGTCACTCCACTTGGTCCTCTTGCCTCAATCCTATCAACACAAGGAATACAATCAAACAATGCTAACAATGCAAGGAAATCCATAGTTCCGAGCCTAGATTTCTCCAAACATCAAAGCATACTAAAATAACACTATAAACTCATTTCTACCGATTAAATGTCATTCCTAGCATTTTTCACAACATACTCTAAGCCTCATTTTTCCTTGAACATAGCCAATCTACTCAACATTTCATAAAAACCCTAAAACACTATTCATTAAACCCTAACCATGAAATTTTCCAAGAAAACAAGGTTCAAGGGTTAGAATCTTACCACCAATGGTCACACAACCAAGGATTGATGGCTCCTCAAGCTTCAATGGAGGTTGAAACCCTCAAAACCCCAAATTTCTCCAAAGGGCCGAATTTTTGAGAGGCAATATCCCTCTCCACAATGCTCCCCACTCAAAACAAAGCTAGGATTATGAAAGAGGGCGAGATTCTAAGCGATTTAGGCTTTCGAATCATCCAAAACCATCAAGGTTTGATCTCTCTCTCTCTCTCTTCCTCCCTTCCTTCCTCTTCTTTCTCCTTCTTCTTCTCCTTCTCTTTGTTTTCTGGTGACGGGACTTGGGGGGAAATGGGGGTCATTTTGGCTTTTAGTCACTTAACATAGGTTAAGTGGCTTTAAGCGGGTATTGGTTCGTCTATCTATTCAACTCCAATAATTACCAAACTTTACCCAAAAGTCTGGAATATTATTCTAGGAATATTACTATTTTTATTTTTATATTTTGGGTACTTTTGCCAGTACCCATTTATACCCCTTAATTTTCACTGAGTACACTTTTTAACTCCAAAGTGACTCAGATTCATTTAATTAAGCCTTATACTTAATTTCACTCACTAAAACATGTTTAATTAATTAAGGGATAGGTTATTGTGCCTACTCCTATTTTACCTACTTTTGTCTACCCCTTTCGTTACCGTTCGATTACCATCTCATCCAACGATTCATATTTGTGATATAAAATAAACCTTTTTTTTCCTTTCTTTCTTCTCACTTTTTCTCATACCCTTTCTCTCTCCTCTCCTTTCTCTCTTCCTCTACGCCATACCTATTTTTTTTTTCCCTTCTGCCGCCGTGGACCTCAATCTCCTGACAAACTGTTCGATTCTAATGATATTTTTAATCTTTATAAATTAATACGATTGAATCGATGACTAACAAAGAAGTTTTGATGTGATTCAAAGCGGTGGTGCCACAAGGTCTGTTCACAGAATCCTCCTTGTTTCTGCTTCAATATGTCGATCTGTTCTTCCACATGATAGATACTCTTAATTTCTAATAATTAATTGGCTATCTGTCAACATAATTGCTGGAATGGCACCAATTAACCCTCTTTCCGGATTTTTCCAATATCAATTTTTTTTATTCTTTAATTTTTTTATTTATTTTGAATCTTTTCCAACTCTGCACAGATCTTTTGAATCACATTAAAACTTCTTTGTTAGTCATCGATTCAATCTTATTAATTTATAAAATTTATGTTGTTCTTCAGATCTAAAAATTTGTTGTGATTTTTCAATCCATTGACACTGGTAATTTGATAGAAACTGATTCAGAAGGAGAAAATTTATATTACAATAATCAAAACAGAGACTAATGTATATTGACGATGATTTCAAATGCTGTGGTAATTGATTTCAAATGCTTCCGCGCCGTTCACCTGGGCAGAGATTAACGATAAAGGGAAAAAAATAGGTATATGGCAGAGGAAGAGAGAAAGGGTTTGGGAGAAAGTGAGAAGAAAGAAAGAGAAAAAATGTTTATTTTATATCACAAATATGGATTGTTGGATGAGATGATAATCGAACGGTAACGAAAGGGGTAGGCAAAAGTAGGTAAAATAGGAGTAGGCACAATAACCTATCCCATTAATTAATTACACTTGATTTACTAATTAATTAAGATGGGCTATTATAACTCTCTAGAAATTAAGATTACATATATCAAATTTCATCTAAAACTAACCTAAGATGCCCTAAGGATCGGGATTATCTGAACTCTGTGTGTGAAGGCTTTCTTAGGAGAAAGGCAATTTGTGAGGGGAAGGGCAATTCATAGCTAAGGGAAGATTATAACAACAGAACTGAAAGGGTTGGGAATAAGAAGAAATAAGAGAAGAGGAGAAGGAAAATGGAGATATGCGAGAAGTTTGAGAGAATGTGAATGTGATTTAGTTTGGTTAGATTAAACTCCTATTTATAACTGGAGTTTTGTAACTGAGGCATTAATTATAGGTAATATCAATGGTAATTATAATTACTTTAATTATCATTAAAATAGCAGGTAATATCAATAGTCATCATAATTAATTAAATTATCATTAATATATCTTAAAGATTACAAAATTAAATGAAAATAACTCTTTACATTATCAATTAAATAAAAACCAACACTAATAAGATTCAATGACAACCAATAGATATATCAATACCCAGAACATTACTTTATATTAAACCCAATATATGTAACATAATATAATTACACACATAAGAGTATATACTATTATTATTCTTATTATTATTATCATCATTAATTTATCACTATTATTTTTCCTCGGTTATTACAATAAGCCAGGAGCAGCATTAGAATCACAAACACTACTGGCTTTACCATTGCCCTTGTCATCATTGTTCAATTTGCTGTCAAATTCCAAGCCATAGGTGTGGCCCATTTTCGCACGTTTGGTCTCCAAGTATCTCTTGTTCTCCTTTGTGATAAGTGATAACAATGGGATCCTACCCGAAATTGTCAAGCCATAACCTCTGAGCCCAACATATTTTGCCGGATTGTTTGTCATCAGCTTCATGGAACAAACACCCAAGTCCATCAATATCTGCAAGTACAATTTCAAATTTTAACTTCTTGACTCAATGCAATAAAGTAAAACATCAGGAATTGTGTCTTGCACCAGACAATAGCAGGCAATAAAACTTCCATAATCATTGTAAATCACCATGGATTAAAATATGTAAAATATACTTAAGTGAGGATGAAGGGCCGGCCTGGCTCAGCGGTAAGCTTGCTTACCGTGGTGTTCCAGGTCAGGAGTTCGACTCGGCTCTCCTGCAAAGCAGGGGTAAGGCTTAACTCAAATTTCCCTTCTCCAAATTTCCCTTCTCCAGACACGCACGGAGTGGGTCTTGAACTGGGCCGGCCTTTTTTTATACTTAAGTGAGGATAACATGTTCAATATTCCAATCACTTAAGTATTTCTACTATAATTACCTGAGCACCAATTCCGTACTCCCTAGAGTCAACAGGTAATCCCAACTCCTCATTGGCTTCTACGGTATCCCTTCCAGCATCCTGTAGGTTATAAGCAAGAAGCTTGTGGCCCAATCCAATGCCCCTTCCTTCATGTCCACGAAGATATACCAATATACCTCTACCAGCAGCCTCAATCTGTTGCATTGCAAGAGCAAGCTGATTTCCACAGTCACATCTGGCAGATCCATATATGTCTCCTGTAAGACACTCTGAGTGTACCCTCACAAGAACATCTATTCCATCCCCAATGTCACCCTGTTAAACAAAGAAAAGTCAAATCCACAAAAATGGCCAACAGTTTACTACTGAATCAAGCAATCTAAAAATCTAAAATGGAAAATTTGAAGACAATTTGAAGAGCTTGCCAATTTTGCATGTCCTGCAGGCTTATACACTTACTTACCAACAAACACCTTGAAGGCAAAATGATAAAAAAAAAATGGGTAAACATCAATTTATCAACACAGAAAACAAAACACTCTGATACTGCTAGTATGACTGGATCCCATCCCAGTCTGGAAGTTGTTCAATTCAATATCTTAAGATATCACATCCCAATAATAGTTTGTGTACTATCAGAAGGTGTTTGGTAAGAAGAGAAAAAAAATTGCTGAGTGGGGTGAGTAAAATAATTTAGGTATGTTTGGTAGGAGTAAAGTAAAAAAAGTGATTGGCAAATTTTTTTTGATGGGTAACAATTTTACACATGATATCAATAGAAAACTTTACCATCCAAGATATGATAAAACAATTTGCCCAAAGTCAACACACCTTTTTTTATCTTACCAAACAATAAATTTTGGCCTGCCAAACATCTTTTCTTATCTTATCGGCTATAAATTTTTCCCGCCACGTTCTCGAAATTTTTTTTTGACTCATAAAAAAAATATCTCCTCTACCAAACGCCTCGTCGAAAAATTAAAAACTAATTCCACCCTCTATCTCTTGTAGTTTAATTTTAATAGCCATAAAGAAATTTGACAATATCAATCTCCCCTTTGAAAGAAAAAAAAAAACGGTTGGATAGAATAATAGGCTATATTGAAATACCATATGATTAACATACAAGAAGCTACTGATTGAGCTAAATCATATTGCTCTACCATATTCACATTTTCACATTTTTTCTTATCTATGTAGTTAAAAAAATATTAAGTCCTACTATCAATAAAATTCACACACATTGATACATATATATAGTGCAACATATACACAAACATTGATCACCTTAACCATTGCAATATGCTCAATCCCGTCTAAAAGTGACCTATAACAATTAGCTGTGAATGGCCCCCACATTGTTGGTATTAGGGCAGCACCAACACGTTCTACTAGTTTATCTCTCTTCCTTCTATACCTGACATAAAAATAAGCGTTAATCTTTCAATTATCTAACCAAAAAAGGCTTTTTGATCACTATAGCCTTTTTTTAATAATTAATTACCAAATTGACCCTATTTATAAATTATTTCAAAAATTTAACCTCTCCAGAAAACATAACACCAATCTGCCCATGTTTGACCGTTCACCATGAAGCCTACCCGGGTACACCCCTACCTACCCGGGTATATTTTGAAATTTTTTACCTACCCGGGTACACCCCTCCCTACCCGGGTATATTTCTTGAATCTGGAAAAATATTTGAATTATTTACCCGGGTAGGAAGGGGTGTACCCGGGTAAATAATCAGGGTCAACATAGGGTAGCTGTTGGCACCAGAATCTCAGCAAGATAAAATGAACAACAGCAAACAGATCACAGTTATAAGAAATGCACCAAAACAAATGATATTAGTGGCTAGCTAGATGAGGACAATATAATCCTCAATCTGCAGAGATAATTCAGCAATTACAATGACAGCACCAAGATAACCGATTCTAATGAAATATCCTTTCTCACTCAGCAAGGCCATCGGGTCCACTAACAGTAGGTTCAACAATGGCAGGTCCATCAGTGGCGAATGGACAATCTAGTCATTTAAACACATAGCAGCCCTTGTTATTTACAAAAAGAAAAGACCCTTTGCAGAAAGCCAGATTATTTACAAACAGTGCCAGGTTATTTACCCGGGTACACTCTTTCTTACCCGGGTAAATAATTCAAATATTTTTTCAGATTCAAGAAATATACCCGGGTAGGAAGGGGTGTATCCGGGTAGGTAAAAAATTTCAAAATATACCCGGGTAGGTAGGGGTGTACCCGGGTAGGTTTCATGGTCAACGGTCAAACAGGGGCAGATTTGTGTTATGTTTTCTGGAGAGGTTAAATTTTTGAAATAGTTTATAAATAGGGTCAAGGTGGTAATTAATTATTAAAAAAAGGCTATAATGGTCAAAAAGCCAACCAAAAAAGATTCAAAAAGTATCCAGGCAGAAAAAACATAGACAAAGGAGACTTGGGTAAGCAACAAAAGAAATAAAAAAACGAAAACAATCAAAATAACCATTGAGAAAATTATAAAAAAAAAATCAAAAATCACTTCTTATTAAACCCTGACTAACAAGGATGGGGTGAGGATAATTTTATACATAAATTTACTCTTGCATATATGTAAAAATGTTGTTTCCCGGATTAGAACTCATGACATTTTAGTCATAAAAAATTAGATTTTTCCCTACTTCAGGCTAGCCCTCTTAACCACTTTGAAAATTATAACTGTAGGAATTTTTTTTTGGTTTGAAGACTCTAATCCAGAAACATATAATGGCGTGATAGTAACCTAAGTCAAAAGCAAGTACCACAAAATACAAATTGGCTAAATTTCTAATTAATTAGTTAGGATTTTAGAAAGGTGAATTATGATATCGGACAACACAGGGGAGGTAAATTATAATATCTCAACCTGAAAGCGAAATCTAAACATAAATGTTGGGATATTTAAGTGGCGACAACACGGGATGTAAATTATAATATCTCAACCTGAAAGCGAAATCTAAACATAAATGTTGGGATATTTAAGTGACGGAGGACCACCACCAATGAAACAAGCTACTCCAAGTATATTAAGTGGGTCCAACACCACATCTCAAACCAAAACTTTAAGGCATTGGGTTCATGCGTCCTTCCACTTATATACTTTTCACTTAACTCATTACCAACCAATGTGGGACTCATCACACTTGAATATCTCAACAATAAAATATTCAATAAACATGAATACAATGAATTTTATTACATCTTTCATGAAATGCAACCACATACCTTATTAAGTCAGCAATGCATACAATTTTCAAATTTTCACGCTCTGCAAACTGGCGAAGCTTAGGTAATCTAGCCATGGAACCATCATCGTCCACAATCTCACACAGAACTGCCACAGGATCCAAACCAGCAAGTATGGTAATATCAACTGAAGCTTCTGTATGTCCAGCTCTCTTCAAGACACCACCTTCCCTGTATTTTAGGGGGAAAATATGGCCTGGGCGGTTGAAATCACTTGGTTTTGAATCTTTTGATGCAAGGGCCAAGACTGTTGTTGCCCTATCATTAGCTGAAACCCCTGTGGTAGTGCCATGTTTAGCATCCTACAAATGCAATGTAAAGTGTTGAAATGTAGCAAAATACAATAATAGTTCTTGAACTACATCAAAGAAACAATTTCTAGCACAACATAACAGATGATTAAATTTCAATCATCTTTGTTGACATGATGCCATTCTGCTAAATCATAATCACATGTCCCTTAAATACTTGGAGACAATAGATTAAATGCAACAAAGTAAATGCTCTGAATTAGTAACAAACTAAGTGCCGTTTCCAAATGAGCTTAGATGAAACAAATTCTTCACTTTAATTTCATTATCTCAAAGGATGAGGAAATGGAGTGTTTTTAGCTTAAGGTACTGGGTGAGGTTATATTAATAGTTTTATATATCTCAACACGTCCCCTCACACGAGAGCCCACTTGCTTGAAGGGTGGATAATGCACAGGTCCAACTACCTGTGCGAAAAAAGAAATTCCACTAGAAAGAAAGTGGAGAGCGATGAAGATCGAACTCGGTACACCGAGGCTCTGATACCAGTAAAGAACCAATTCAACCCAAAAACTTAAACTATTGGATGAGGCTATATTAGAGGTACACAACTAACTCCATGTATAAAGATGCAAGCACCAAATTGTACATACCAGTGTCACAGTGAATGCTGTACGGAGTTTCTCATCATTATCCCGACTGTTTACCATCAAAGGAAGTTCCAATCTCTCCAGATCTTCCTCTTTCATGCTTACACAAACTATCCCAGTTCCATGCTTCACAATAAAAGCCATGGCCTCAGGTGTAGCCAACCGTGCTGCCATTATTAAATCTCCTTCATTTTCTCTGTCCTCATCATCTACAACCACTACCATCTGAATCACTAACATCAGTTAGTAACAGATAGCTAAGTCTATGGTGATGCAAAACAAAAGAGAGAGAGAGAGAGTAACAACCTTTCCATTCCGAATGTCTTCAATGGCCTCTGATATGGAAGCAAAACCTTCTGTTGGACTGTCCAAATCAAATTCATCATTCTCATCAGAAAAAACATTGATTGTTACCGCTGTGTCTGCTCCCAGTGTTCCAATTACTGATATTGCATCAGGTTGTACCTCAGTTCCAACTGATTCAACACCAACTAGATCTTCATTTTTCACATCAGACCTCTTTGGATAAGCATATAGGTCTCCTCCTCCAGATATCAATGTAGCATTGATTCTGCTAACAGCTTTGCGACTTAAGAGGAATTTAGAGTTCAGTTGGACAAATGGAAAATCCGCCACGTGTCCATTTATGATAGTAGAATTTATGCTGTGCAGTCCATTGAACAATTTGAAATGTTTGCATGTCCTACATTGAACAGAAGAGCAGATCAAAGGTACTCCTAGTAATTGTGACATTCAAACATTAAAAAAAAAAAAAACCGCTTCCCGTTAAACCCGACTAATGAGTGTGGGCGGAGGAAATTCTTATACGCAGCCTAATCATTACATAATTGCAAAGAGGCTGTTTCCGAGATTCGAATTCATAACTTTTCAGTTATGAAGAAACAGTTTTATCACAGCTCAGGTTCGCTCCTTTTACATCCAAACATAAGTAGAACAAAAAAATAAAATAAATACTGGAAAAATCAAAATTTATTATCACAGACGGACACAATGTGCAGCTATTACTTCAGCTAAAACCTTCAGCAAGTTGAAATGGAGAGGGAGAGATTACATATAGCTTAGCAAGAAATTAAAGCTAAACATCTTTACTGCAATGAGGCAGAGCATGTTACACGAACAAAGTGGTGGTCTAGAATTTGATAGGGGTTGGAAAAGCTCAATAAAAGATAATAACATGCTTGAATCCAAGTATATGATCAATTGCATGAAAAAATGTAGAGCTTTGTTCACAAAACGCTCGTGTGCAAGCCCAGAAACAAGATAATGTACTATGAAAACATGTTCAAAAAACAAGGAAATGCCATCAATCAGAAATGAAAATTGTAGTAATGTTAATTTGTTTTTAAGTGATATGTTGTTGAGTTAGCTTCAAGCTTCAACATCATACTGTCTTTTCAGCAAGCAGTATCTGAATGTGAGGCTCAATATTGGAACACAAAAAAAAAAAAAAATAGCGCATGGTGAAAATGGTTGGTCACAGAAAGTGCAAATGTTGTGCTATCACATTAACGAAAGAAGCAAAACAAAGAAAACTGAAATTGAGGTTAGAATGAAAGAAAGGGCAAATCAGAGAGATAGTGAAACTGACAGAGGGCGAGTCATGGAAGAATAAGAGAGAATGAGAGAAGCCATTGCTTGGTGTTACGTTTGATATATGGGAAGTGCTATCAAATGCTTTACAATTTATAAGTGAAGGGGAGTTGTATGAGAGTGGGGAAATATATATTTTAAGATGGACATGATCCGTTTACAAACTTTTTTTGCAATTACATTAATGTAGGACCGATGTACACTGTGTGATTAATGTAGGACCGGTCTTACATAGTGTAGTTTGTAAACAAAAAAGTTTGTAAATATAACCTGAACCATTTTAAAAACCAAGTTACCTTAATTTTTTTAAAGTACGAATATGGCAAGTTATTAAATTCATACCGGTTAAAATTGATTTGACCAAGAAAATGTGATAATGAGATATTGGTTGAACCAGATATATATCCATTTTGAATTTGAAAAAGATCAAAATGATTGTCAATAATTATAATAAATTATCCAATTTATTAATTTCAGCTTATTAAGGTAGCTTTCATTACTTTCCAATTTCCTTAAGAATTAATTACTTTACTTAGGGCATGGATAACACGTAGCAATCATTGAGATTTTGTGTTATTTAAAAAAAAAAAAATCAAGATAGAGGCTTCAGGTGGACGTGGACCAACAAATGAATTTAAAAAAAGAACAAAATAAAGGCAAGTTAGTGTTTGATATTATTAAAACACTGATACTTTTGTGAATGATCATATATTATCCATCTTAGTGATTTCAACTTACCAAGATAGCTATAATTATTTTTTACAATTTGCTTAGTGATTAATTTATTTATTTAAGGCATGACAACACGTGGCAACATTTGAAGAATTGTGTCATTTTCTATTTATTTTTTTATTTAAAAGGAGGGTCATTTTGTGGACCAACAAATATAGTCTAATTTGAATTTGAAAAAAGAGAAAAATAACTAAATTGGTATAAATGTGGTAGTATTAGCCTTTAAGAAATTGTAATAATTTATTATTACGGTCCCCAAAATAGCTAAATTGATATTTCATATCGTTAAAGAACGTTATACTTTTGTTAATAATCATAAATTATCCAATCTAGTGATTTCAACTTATTATGCATGGTTGCCTAAATATTTTTCCAATTTTCTTATTAATTAATTATTTTATTTAGAGTACGAATAAAATGTGTCAGTCTTTGAGGAATTGTGTCATTTTTTATTTTATTTTTTTAGATGAGAGGCGTTAGGTGGACCAACAAAATTGTGTCCAATTTGAACTTGAAAAAGGAGCAAAATGAGGGTAAATCACTATTTAAAATTATTTAAAAATGGGTACTTTTGTCATTGAGAAAAAATTATCCAATTTTCTGATTTCATCTTACAACGGTAGCTTTAATTAATATTTTTTAAATTTCTTAGTAAATAATTATTTTATTCAGGACATGAATAACATGTGGCGGTCTTTGAAGAATGTGTCAATTTTTTACTTTATTTTTTAAATATTTTTTATTATTTTAGAAGAAATGCATGTCGACCTCCAAAATTCTTTTTTTTTTTTTTGAAATTGATCCTAATTATCTCTTTGAGGCGAATCAGAACCCCCGATATCCCCTGGGTGTACGAGTCCAAGGATTACGGTACTTATGCCCCTCCCCAGATGGTGTTGGTGGGATTCGAACCGAGATCCTCTCTCACCACTCAGTCCCCATGCTACCAACTGAGTCACCACACTTGGGTAAAATTCTCTTTTGGAAAAGAAGAAAAATGAGGGTAATATAATATTTAATATTATTAAAAAGGATACGCTTGTTAATGATAATAAATTATCCAATCTATTGATTTTAGCTTACCAATGTAGCTTTAAATATTTTTTCCAATTTGATTACTAATTGATTACTTTATTTAAGGGATGAATAACACGTGGTATCCTTTTAGGAATATGTCATTCTTTATTCTTTATTTTAAGAGGAGAGCATCAAGAGGACTAGGGGCCTTAACGAGCCGAGCCGAACTTTGGTCTTAAAAGGCTAAGCCTGTGTTTAAATGTGTCAGTCTGATCAAACATGTTACCTGTTATAAATATAATTATCGACCTGTGGCATGGCTTATTTACAAAAGATAAAAGCCTGATTTAGCCTGTTGACCTATTTAAAAAAATAAGATAGCAAAAATTTATCAAAACAGAATATACAATCAATAACACTAGTAATTTCATAAATATTCATAAATTTAATGTGTATCCAAACAATATAATATAGAATAAAATCATTCAAAAAGTCTATTTAACCAGTAAAATAGGGTCAAATAGATTGAAGAGAAAGAGAAAGCCATTACAAGTAGTACAAAAAATATAAAATAAAAAAAATAATATACTAGGCCAGCCTAAGAGGCTCTAAGGCCGAGCTTTTGAATTGGAGCCTGAGGCCTTTTTATTAAACGAACTTTTATACAAGTTCAAGCCTTGTGCCAACAACCAATTTTAGACATGTAAGCTCAGGCCTTCACGAGCCGAGCCAAAGGTCCCTGGTTCGTTTAGCACCCTTAAAGAGGACTAGAAAAGAGATTCGAATTTAAATTTGAAAAATGAGCAAAACATCTGAAATAATATAAGGCATGAATAACATGTGGTAGCCTTTTAGGAATTGTATCATTTTTTATTTTTTATTTTTGGAGGAAAGGCGTTAGTTGGACCAGTAAATTTTTTTTTAGAAGAAATGCATGTGGTCCTATGAAGCACCGACACTTCAAAACCCTGACGTGTCGTGTCCGACACTTCCCGATACTCTCCGACACTCCACAACACTCCAACACGCGTTGTAGAGACTCAAAAAAAGTTCAAAGATTGCGTTGTGTTGAATTTTTAGTTCCAACTATTAGATTCGTTGGATTACAATTACCATTTTTTCGAGTTTAATATAAATATTTGAGATATCTTATGTTTCTTTGTAAAATTGATGGATATTATAAGTTTAACTTCATTCTTTTGTTAAATTATTGAGTATTAAATATAATATACATTACATAAATTAAAAATAATATTTAATATCAAAATGTGTCCTAACGTGTCGAAATCTAACATTTTATAGAATTAACGTGTCGGAGTGTCTCGTGTCGATATCGGTGCTACATAGATGTGGACCACCCAAATTCGCTTTTGTAAAAAAAAAAGGGTAATTTAATATTTAATATTTGTTAATGATAATAAATTATTCAGTCTATTGACTTTAGCGTACCAATGTAGCTTTAAATTCTTTTTCCAATTGATTATTAATTAATTACTCTATTTAGGGCATGAATAACATGTGACATCCTTTAAGGAATATGTCATTTTTTATTCTTTATTTTAAAAGGAGAGCATCAAGAGGACTAGAAAATAGAGTCCAATTTGAATTTGAAAAATGAGCAAAACATCTGAATTAATATAAGGCATGAATAACATGTGGTAGCCTGTTAGGAATTGTATCATTTTGTATTTTTTATTTTTGGAGGAAAGGCGTTAGTTGGACCAGTAAATTTTTTTTTTTTTGAAGAAATGCATGTGGACCACGGAAATTCGCTTTTGTAAAAAAAGAGAGAGGGTAATTTAATATTTAATATTTGTTAACGATAATAAATTATTCAGTCTATTAACTTTAGCTTATCAATGTAGCTTTAAATTTTTTTTCCAATTTAATTATTAATTAATTACTTTATTTAAAGCATGAATAACATGTGGCATCCTTTAAGAAATATGTCATTTTTTATTCTTTGTTTTAAAAGGAGAGCATCAAGAGGACTAGAAAAGAGAGTCCAATTTGAATTTGAAAAATGAGCAAAACATCTGAACTAATATAAGGCATGAATAACATGTGGTAGCCTTTTAGGAGTTGTATCATTTTGTATTTTTTATTTTTGGAGGAAAGGCGTCAGTTGGACCAGTAAATTTTTTTTTAGAAGAAATGCATGTGGACTACGAAAATTCGCTTTTGTAAAAAAAGAAAAATAAGGGTAATTTAATATTTAATATTTGTTAATGATAATAAATTATTCAGTCTATTGACTTTAGCTTACCAATGTAGCTTTAAATTCTTTTTCCAATTTAATTATTAATTAATTACGCTATTTAGGGCATGAATAACATGTGGCAT